TCCATCATTATACGTCTGATGTTTAGACGTTGTAAAATAATAGAATATTGTTCCCTTTTCGATCTCTTTCTCTTTGCTTTTGTTCTTTTAGGGCCCTACTTATTTTGTTCTTTGCTTGTTAAAAAAAAACAATCCTTTCCAGTTTTTAGTAGTTTTCAATTCCTCATCAGATTTTTGTCTTTTTTGTATTATCAGATAGAACTTCAAAAGCATAGAGGACTCAAAACTAGTTCCAGTAGTAGCATTGCTAAGTGCCTTTGGGGAAGAAGGACAATGCTGTATTATTGCTCAAGAAAGGTATGGTTTAATGCACGAGGCATAGATAAAACAGAATGTGTAGCTTACAGAGTCTTTGTCTTACAATTTTGGAATTCCCCTTATAAATCTTTATTGTGATGCAAAGTATATATACCATGAAACTCACCTGTTTTAAATGTACGATTCACTAATTGTTGAGTACAGAATGGAACATTCTCCCAATAGATGTTTAGAGCATTTCTTTCATTGTGAAAAGCTTTATGCCCTTGAGCAGTTACTTCCATTCCTACTCCAGCTTGAAGCAACCAACAGTCTGTTTTCTATCTGTACATTTTTCATATAAATGGAATTCTGTCACATGACTTGTCTTTCATGTCCTCTTTTACTTAATATTCTGCTCACGCATACACAGATTTATGAGTACTTAGTTCGTTTTTGCTGCTAGTCTATATAGATAGATAAGGACACATTTAATTTGCTAACCAGTTGATAAACATTCAAAATGTTTGTCTTCTGACTATGCTCATTATTTGCCTACAAATTTTTTGTAAACATGTTTTCCTTCCCTTTCAGTAAATATGAAAGAGTGAAATTGCCGATTCTTATTGTAAATTTGTATTTAATAGTAAGAAATTGACATGGCTGGAATTTTAGCTTATTGGGAAAGCACTTGCCTCATATACATGTCACTGTAGATGTTCATCCCCAGTACTGACAGAGGGAAGGAGACAGTGTATAAAGAAGACTTTGCATAGTGATGCCTGAAGGTCATTGGTTCTCCACATCTTTCTCAGCACTTTTTTTTTTGTCTTTGTTGCATGGCCATCTAGTGGGCATAAAATAGTATTTCATGTGGTTTTGATTTTGTTTTTCTAATGATTAATGTCTTTCATTTTAAAAATGTTGTGTGTGGTTGGGGAATGTAGCTCAGTTGGGAAAGTGTTTGACTAGCATGTATGATACTCAGTATTATGTAACAGGTCAAAGTGGAACACACCTTTAATCCCAGTACTCGGGAGGCAGAAGCAGGTGGTTCTCTGAGTTTGAAGCTGGCCAGGGCTACATAGTGGAACCTTTTCTAAAACAACAACAACAACCAAAACAAACAAACAAACAAAAAACCCTGAGCAATATAAAATAGAGAGCATATAGTTAGGTGATGTTTCTTAATCTACTCTCCCAACATCTGTGTTTTAACTAGCGTGTCTAGACCACTGAATAATGTAAGAGCTGTTCAAACTACTCCATAGGGAAAGTACTTGCTGCACAAACCACAGAACCTGAGTTTAATCCTTAGAACACATGTAATGGCAGAAGAGAGAATCAACTCCAGAGTTGTTCTCCCACAGGCACACTATGGTATACGTGCACACACACATGTGTGTGTACTTATACACACACTAATAATAATAATAATAATAAAATTTTTAAATGCATATAAGGTAAATTGCTGTGTTTTAGGCTTAAGTCTGTCGTTTTTGGGTTTTGTTCTTTTTTGTTTATCTTACTTTTCTATGAATTGCTTGAATATTCTATTTTAGCTACAATTTTTTAAAGTTTTGTTTTGTTTTTTAAGACAGAGTTTCTCTGTAACTATGTAGCCTGTCCTGGAACTAGCTCTTGTAGGCCAGGCTGACTTCTTACTCACAGTGAATCCACCTGCCTCTGCCTCCTGAATGCTGAGATTAAAGGCATGTGCCACCACTGCCTGGCTTAAAGTATGATTCTTAATATAGCCTTTTATTGGTTTACTGATATTGGCAGTTTATGAGTTTGAGTGAAGGTATGTAGAAACTTTACATCTTAATTTCCTTTTACCCTCTGTTACAGTTTTTGTAAATCTTTGCAGTTATTGTAAATACTCTCCCTTTGTGTATATTTTGAACCATGTTTATATAGTGTTACAAAATGCTTCAACCACCAAAAATAATTTTGAAAACTCAAGAACAAATGTCCACTTCATTTTTTAAGACTCTTTTAGGGGCTGGAGAGATGGCTCAGCGGTTAAGAGCATTGCCTGCTCTTCCAAAGTTCCTGAGTTCAATTCCCAGCAACCACATGGTGGCTCACAACCATCTGTAATGGTGCCCTCGTCTGTCCTTCAGGCATACACACAGAAAGAATATTGCATGCATAAATAAATAAATATTAAAAAAAGACTCTTTTAACATTATGTGAGTGTATGTATCTGTGCACATGAGTACAGGTGCCTGAGGCTGCCAACATCAAATCCCTTGGAACCAAAATTACAGGTGGCTGTGAGCAACATGGATGCTGGGAACCAAACTCAGGTCTTCTCCAAGAGCAGTGTGTGCTCTTAACCACTGAGCTACCCCTGCAGCCCTTTTGCCATTCTTGTAGGCTGGTAATGAATTATCTTAATTTTCTTTCATATGAGAATGTCATTGTTCCCCCTTCATTCCTGATGAATATTGTTTCTTATAGAAGCCTAGGTTGGCAAGGAGGAGTGTTTGTTATAGCACTTTAAAGTATGCCATTTCCTTCTGGCTCTAGTTCTCTTTCTCTCTCTTTTTCCTTTACTGGGTATCCAGCACTTTATTTGTTTGTTTGTTTGTCTGCCTGTATGTTTGTTTGCTTATTTATGTCTTTATACAGAGTTTCTCTGTGTAGCCTGGCTGTCTTGAACTCACTCTGTAGACCAGGCTGACCTTGAACTCAGGTCCACCTGCCTCTGCCTTCGGAGTGCTGTGATTAAAGTGCTGTGCCACCAAGCCTGGCCCAGTTTTTATTTAAAAACTCATTTCTATGAATATTTTTATTCTAACCTCCCCCCCCCCCCGACGGATTTTTCTGTGTAGCTTTGCCTGTCCTGGAACTTGCTCTATACACCAGGCGGGCCTCGAACTCACAGAGATCAGCCTACCTCTGCCTCTCGAATTCTGGGATTAAAGGGGCTTGTGCTGCTACCACCTGGCTCTTCTAAACTTTATAACCTGTTCCAGAAAATCTATACTGTTAGAATGTTAGACTTCATTTTAGAATTCATTTATCACTTTTGGAATCTGTCTTGTCATTCTTACTACTGGAACGGAATTTGTTTTGAACTTTGAATGATTGCTGCCCCTCACATTTGACTAAATGAAGTTGTTGCCCGAATTTGGGGCTTTTTGTTTTGTTAAAGGTTCTATCATGCTGGCTGGCTTGGAATTCACTGTGTAAACCAAGCTGGCCTCTTAACTCACAGAAATCTCCTGCCTCTGCTTTCCAGGTCCTGGAATTAAAAGTGTGTGCCACCATACCTGGCCATTTTTTTCTTAATCCAGCTTCTTTAATCAGAGTCATACTACTTTCTTTACAGTTTTGTTGTTGTTTGTTTCTCTTTTGTATTTTTAATTCTGTGAAATTTGAAGTGGTACCATCTAGGTTTGTTTTCATTCATTATTATTGTGACTTGGGTTGAGCCATTTTTATCTAGAAATTTGTGACCTTCAGTTTCATATAGTTTTCTTAAATTTTGTCATTGATTTCTAATTGGTCTCTCGTTATTCTTCCTTGTACTTCTTTTGTTTGGATGTTGGGCCCTCTAAGCCTATCTTCTGATTCTTATCATTTGCCCATATGTTCTAGAAGATAACTTCAAATTTCTCTTTCAACTTCTGTTAAAGTTTTTGTTTTGTTTTGTCTTAATTTTTTAATGTGTATGGGTGCTTTGCCTGCATGTATGTCTGTGCACCACATGCACTCAGTGCCCACTGAGTCTAGAAGAGGATGTCAGATCCCCTGTAACTAGAATTGCAGACCTTGTGAACTACCATGTGGGTGCTGGAAATTGAATCCAGGTTATCTGGAAGAGCAGCCAGTGTTCTCAACTGGTAAGCCATTCTACGTCCCTACGTATTTGAGTTTTTTATTTTTCTTTGTGCATTCGTTTTAAGTCTTAATATATCCTATTTTTAAATTTCTAGCAGTATTTCATTGCTTTGTTTTTTCAGACTGGGTCTCACGATTGGTTTTGTTATCTCTGATAGATAAGCAAGCACCACTGTAAACTAGATACAGAAACTTCTTTGGCAACTTTTACTACCATTATATCCCTATCTTTAAGGGATATGTATATGTGTGTGTGCTAATAGGTTTATATGTATGTATGTTTTACTGTGGGACTGGTCAGTATTCCAAAGAACCATCTTTTGTGCTGTCCTTGGAGAATGAGCTTGATTGCAAGCCTTGGTGAGCCAAGTGAAAGAAAGTTTCAAAATTTAGCATGTAAACTCTTATGTGACTCTTGATGTTTAGAATATGTTCTTTCAACTGCACTTGTACCTGATATTATTCTAAGAACCTGAGTTCATGTTTTTCATAGAATAGAATTGTAATCCTGACACATACTAACCCCCACAGTCAGGATGCCAGGAGGATCTGGAATATGAAGCCAGGCTGGGCTATAAAGCAAGGCCTTTTCTCAGAAGGAAGCAAGCAAACAGTAACGCCCATGTTGGTTCTGTTGTGTTCTTTTCCTTTCTTTTCTTTTCCTTTCTTTTCTTTTCTTGTTTTTCAAGACAGTGTTTCTCTGTCACTTTGGAGCCTGTCCTGGAAACTAGCTTTTGTAGACCAGGCTGGCCTCGAACTCACAGAGATCCACCTGCCTCTGCCTTCCCGGTGCTGGGATTAAAGGCGTGCGCTGCCACCACCCAGCGCTGTTGATGTACGTACATACATGCTATAAAAGATCATGTTCTTTGGCTTTTTAAATTTTCTATTTATTATTTTTATTTTCCTAGGCACTTAAGAGATTATGGCATCTGACACCCACCATGTTAAAAAACGGAACTTCTTTAATAGTATTGAGGATCATCCTATTGATCTTCCTAGAAAGAGGATCTCTAATTTCACTAGTAAGAACATGAAGGAGGTAAGTAAGAAATTTAAACTACCAGATCTGTTTAATTTCTTAGATTAAATAGAATTAATGAAGCAAGATTATTATTCCTAAAGTTATAAGAAGACTTTTTTCAAGCATGCTGTTTTATTTTATTTTTGAGACAGTTCCTTTGTGTAGCTTTGGAGCCTGTCCTAGAACTCACTGTAGACCAGGCTGGCCTTGAACTCACATAGATCTCTGTTGGGATTAATGACGTGCACCACCACAACCCAGCCAAGTATGCTGGTTTTTTTTTTTTTTTTTTTTGGTTTTTCGAGACAGGGTTTCTCTGTGGTTTTGGAGCCTGTCCTGGAACTAGCTCTTGTAGACCAGGCTGGTCTCGAACAAGTATGCTGTTTTTATAAGCTGTAATATAAATGTTTTAGTTGACAAGGAACTCAGTGATGCATTTTGTTCATTGAGAGGTTTAATGGCACTGAAATAATTTGCTTTAAGCCACATTAAATTTGAACTGACTCATTTAGCACCTTTTAAGGTCAATACAAGTATTGTGAAAAGGGGATGGTAGATATGTTGCTTTTCCATATATACAAGATACAGTAGTGTACCTAGTGGTTGACACCATGGTGTTAGGACAGAGAAAACATTGACCTGAAAATAACCTATTGAATTTTACGTTGCATTGTTGACATCAGTCATAAAGTTTTCATAACTCTTATTAAAGAACTGAATGTGATACCACTATTTGCTTTGATTTTTAGGTTAAGAAATCTCCAAAACAGTTGGCTGCTTACATAAGTAGGTAAGAGCTTCTTTAAAGTTTGAAGGAAATTTTTGGAAGTGATTAGAGATAAAGACATAAAACAAGTAGTGTTCTTTTTATTATAATTGTAGTTAACTTGTTGTCACACAGTTTTTCTGTGCCAGTCTCTGTACTAATACATTAGTATTATCTGTTCCTTCTATAGCTGCCATTATTCCTAAACAGTGAAGAGAATACTAATAGTCACAGGAAATAAGTGATTTGCTCAGGTTGTGTAGCCAGAAAGTAGTAAAAATGGCATGCATTCCAGAGTTACCAAAAGCAGCTTTCTAAACTACTTGTATCCAAGGTGTGACCCAAGGACCTGGGACTCTCTGAAGTCCTTGTTCACCCTGTCCATTTCACCTCTTCTACAAGTGTACAGGGTGAGTTATTCGCAAATAACATAAAATGAAATGCAAGAGAACAAGTAGAGACAGAAATGAAAATAAGCAGTCTTCCTTTTTTGGTTTTTTTTTTTGTTTGTTTGTTTTTGTTTTTGTTTTTCTAGACAGGGTTTCTCTGTGGCTTTGGAGCCTATCATGGAACTAGCTCTGTAGACCAGGCTGGTCTTGAACTCCCAGAGATCCGCTTGCCTCTGCCTCCCGAGTGCTGGGATTAAAGGCGTGCGCCACCATCGCCCGGCCCAGCAGTCTTCCTTTAAACTGAGCATCAGAAATTGATAAAATTGTGAAACAGCTATTTTCAAAAATTTTCTGTTTGTTCTGGAAAGCATGTTTCTTTTGGTAAAATATTCTATAATAGCATATTTTTTTTTTTTAGTTAGCCTCCCAGTACCGTGACTTTTTTTATAGGGAAGAGACATGGGGGGGGGGGCTGTTGTGGTTGTGTATGCCTAGATTCCTACCATTTGCAACAGAATTTTATGAATGCAGATTTTGCCCAAGCCACATAGTGAGAAACCTTTAGCTCATGGTTTCAGAACTTCAGTCTATGACTTGTTGCCTTCGGGCTGTGATGAGACAGTTTATCATGGTGAGAGAGAACTGTTTCTCTTATGCTGGAAAGGATGCAAAAAAGAAAAAGTAATAATGATCCCAAAGGATCTGGAAACTCTTGTACTCTATGAGGTTTTTCTCTGTGTTCTCCGAACACATTCTTTTTTTTTTTTTTTTTTTTATTTATTTTTTTTTTATTTTTTGAGACAGGGTTTCTCTGTAGCTTTTGGTTCCTGTCCTGGAACTAGCTCTTGTAGACCAGGCTGGCCTCGAACTCACAGAGATCTGTCTATCTCTGCCTCCTGAGTGCTGGGATTAAAGACGTGCGCCACCACCGCCCGGCTAACACATTCTTTCATACACAAAAAAGAACATATTCTTTCATACGCAAAATTAAGTATGATTCAGCTTAAAATACATAGATTAAATAATTTTTGTTAGAAAATAAATTTCAGTTTAGAAAAAGCTTAGATGTCTCAAAAATGCTCATATTTTATTGTTCCCATAATTGCCTTTAAATTTTCATTTTAAAAACCGCACCTCTTAACCTTTTCTGTTTTCATTTTCTGTAACTTGCCACTTTCTTTTCATTGCCTTTCAGTTAATTTGTAACTTCTATTTTCCTCTTCAAAATAAGAGTTGACTTTTTAAATTATTATTTTCTAATTTTAGTGGATTACAATTGCAAAATGTAGACAATTAAAATTCCCATTTAAAAATTTCTCTTTGTGCCTTTTCCTTTTTTTCACTTAAGAAATAAATTCTTTTTACAGAACAGTTGGACAAGCTGTGAAAAATCCAGATAAACTGCGGAAGGTGCTCTATCACAGAAAGTTAGTTCATCATCCCTTTCCAAATCCTTGTTATAGAGCTAAGCAGTCCCCTGAAAGCGGGGGCTGTGACATGGCAAATAAAGAAAATGAACTGGCTTGCGCAGGCCATCTGCCCGAAAATTTACGCCATGATAGTCGAACATTTGTAGTTAACACCAGTGATCCTGGTTCTTCACAGACAGAAAGCCCGTCATCAAAGTATAGTGGCTTCTTTTCTGAGGTAAGTCATTATAGCTTAACTTTATCATATTGTACAGTATACTAGGTTGCTTTGGTTTGGTTTGAAGTTCTTGCTTTCTTTTTCGCCTTGTGTTATTCTCTTAGCAGTCACTCATTGAAATCATCCCTAAGACAGTTGTACAGATTAACTCCCAGTAAAATCAAATGCCTGACAGGCTACTGTAAATACCCAAAATGACAAGTTGGCAAGGAAAAACTTAAAGGGGGAAAAGACATTTTGCCTTAAAAAATAGATCACTGAAGGCTGTTATCCAGTCACATTTTGCTGGGTTCTTAGAATGGCCCAGTGGGGACTTATTCAGCAAACCTGCCACTATCTCTTCTAGCTGTGAAATGAACTCTAAGGAAAGTAATTGTACAGATGCATATATTTACACACATCATGAAATTCACAGAAACAGTATTAATAAAAAGAAACAGAAATATTCTACATGGTGATATGTAAAGACTAAAACTATGCTATTATTTTTTGATAGCTGAAGCCAGTATGTATTTTAGCAATGAAAATGTTCATAGATTTTATATGTTCATGTATAGTCAAAAGGAAGAGCTTTTAAAAATATAATTTTTAGCTTTTTGATATATTTACTTTTCATTGTCTAAAGCATGATTTAGAGGACACATTCCAGTCCAGTAGCTGTAATTGTTTCTAGAGAATGATGTCACATAGTTTTGCCAGTAGAGTATTCATTTTTTTGTCTTGAATAGTTTTGAGCTAAAGTTTTTATACCATATATTACTTTGTTTAAAAATTCATTTAGGGTCGCAGGAATGATGTCACACAGTTTTGCCAGTAGAGTATTCATTTTTTTGTCTTGAATAGTTTTGAGCTAAAGTTTTTATACCATATATTACTTTGTTTAAAAATTCATTTAGGGTCGAGACCAGCCTGGTCTACAAGAGCTAGTTCCAGGACAGGCTCCAAAACCACAGAGAAACCCTGTCTCGAAAAACCAAAAAAAAAAAAAAAAATTAATTTAGGGGGCTGGAGAGATGGCTCAGTGGTTAAGAACATTGCCTGCTCTTCCAAAGGTCCTGAGTTCAATTCCCGGCAACCACATGGTGGCTCACAACCATCTGGAATGAGGTCTGGTGCCCTCTTCTGGCCTGCAGACATACACACAGACAGAATATTGTATACATAATAAATAAATAAATATTTTTTAAAAAAATATTCATTTAGGGCGCGGGCGCCCGTTGGGCGCTTGGACAGGCGGCTGCCCGGCCCGTGCCTTGGCCTCGCCGCCACACTAGCGGCCTGGCCCAGCTCTGCCCGGCGCGCCCGCCGCACGCGGGGATGTCATACAAGCCGAACTTGACCTCGCACATGCCCGCCGCCGCCCTCAACGCCAGAAGTGTCCACTCACCTTTTACTAGTATGGCGACATCCTCCCAGTATCGCCAGCTGCTGAGTGACTATGGGCCACCATCACTAGGCTACACCCAGGGAACTGGAAATAGCCAGGTGCCTCAAAGTAAATACGCAGAGCTGCTGGCCGTCATTGAAGAGTTGGGGAAAGAGATCAGACCCACATACACAGGGAGCAAGAGCGCCATGGAGAGACTAAAACGAGGCATCATTCATGCCCGAAGCCTGATTCGGGAGTGCTTGGCCAAAACGGAACGTAATGCCAGGTCCTAGCCCTTGGCCAGTTTGAAGGCCCATCTCGCCACCCCGTGGAGATGAGAGGCTTTGTTCAAAATGGCAGTGGTTTTCCTGCCATGGTCATTAAGCTCTGAACCCACATCCAGAAGACTGGGAAGACATTTTGCAGTTACTGACGGTGTGCATTCTAAGTAGTTAGAAACCATCCAGCTCTTTTTTTCTTCCCAAGCATTGATTTGAAAGATGTTTGTGAAGCCACTTCAAAGCAAGCTATTGTTTGCCCCCAAATACCAGTGTCCCCTTTAAAATCTCCCTTTGGATACACTTGCCATACGCCTCACCCCAGTTGACTTCCTTTCCATGAGCTCACCTGCCTCTGCGGACTTGAGTGCAGAGCACAGCACATCTGCTTAGTAAGCTGGCCTGCCTGTGGACAGTGTAGACCCTGCTTCACAGAGCTGCTCTGCTTAAGCCTTTGCATGACCGAGTGCTTTGAAGTCAATCTTAAACATGAACAAGTTATAAATACAGAAGAAAGCAATCTACCCAAACTGCCACGCGCCCTGCAAATGTCTATCCTGAGACTGTGGATCTCAGTTCCGTGTTTACTGTGAGACGGTCACAACATCTGGAAGAAAACGACTGCAACTGTTGCATCTTTGTATTTATTACTTGATGTAATAAAGCTTATTTTCATTAACAGTTAAAACAATTCATTTAGATGGTACATTTGCAACTTTTGTAACAGGACATAACTCAGGTTTGTACTTCCTTTCTCATGCTGCTCATTTGATAATAACCCGTTTATATGCTTACCTTTTTCTGTATTCACATGCATAAAATTAAGTCTTAGGTTTATGGGTCAGCTAGAAATAACTTACTCAGATTTTTGAAAATTGGTAGCAAGGGGAGGCGAGAAAAAGTCCTAAATTTGTTTACATCATTCATTCTCTGCATTCAACCGCAAACTGTTATATTCCTTTCTGAGGAGCAGTAAAAGGAGTTGCCCTTATGTAATTTAAGGCTGTGCCGTGTTTCATTATGATTTAACACATTAGATGATTGCCTTTCAGGTGTCTCAGGACCACGAGACAATGGCCCAGGTTCTGTTCAGCAGGAATTTGAGATTGAATGTAGCTTTGACTTTCTGGAGAAAGAGAAGTATAAGTGAACTTGTAGCTTATTTAGTGAGGTGAGTGTGATTTTTTTGGGGGGTCTTTATTTAACATGAATAATTTTAATAAGATATGAAAAGTGACTCTTTTAAAAAGTTTTTATTTGTTAAAAATTTAAACCATTGTATTTAGCATCCAGAGAGTCAGTATAGTTTAAATTACATTCATCACCAATTTAAACTTAATGAGAATACAGAAAACTCTTATCAGATTGAAAAAAGCTGCTACTTTTTCTTTTCTTAGCTGTAAAACTTAAGTGTAGGAAACTTACCATTTGAAAAGAAAAACCAAAGCCTTTCAGAATTTTAAGCATCACCTCCTCGTTTTAAGTCTCTCAAATACTCCCTTCCTGATACTTAACTGATGCCTCATTGAGTACTTTCTTTAAAAGATGTAATTGATCCTTTTCCACCTCTTCTTGTTTTCTTCTCCTCTGTAGTATTTACCATTAGCGTCCTGCTCTATGTATTTTACTTGTTTGTCCCTTTGTTCCATTGCCACCTCCTACTCAGGCATTGAAAAGTGAGCCCTGTCTCCATTTTCCTCTTTATATATATCCTCAGTCCTTGACTCATGATGAATCCTGAAGTTATTTCTTAAATGTTGAATGTCTCCAAAGAAAGATGGAAATTGTAACATGAATGTAAGCAATGGGATCTTGTCTTGTACTTGCAGGATAGAAGACCTTGGAGTTGTGGTAGATTGCCTTCCTGTTCTAACCAATAGGTAAAAACAGTATTTTTTCAGAAAAAGTGTAAGCTTTAAAGAAAAACAAATTGTAATTGGCTTATATTTTATAACTTAGAATTTCCTTAGTTTACAGGAAGAAAAGCAATATATCTCACTTGGCTGCTGTGTAGACTTACTGCCTCTAGTAAAGTCTTTACTTCAAAGCAAATTTGAAGAGTAAGTACTAATCTAAATCTCCCTTTTGCTCTTTCAACATTCTGATTCTGTGTTTTGTGAATACATAGAAGGAGACTGGGCTGCATGGGACATATGTAACCTGGTTATATACAGAGGGGGACAGAACAACTTGTAGGAGTTGGTTCTCTTTCACTGTGTGAATTGCAGAGATTAACTGGGCTGTTAGGTTTTGTGTCAGTTGCCTTCACCCACTGAGTCCTCGATCTCCAGCCCTGTTGTTCTTATTTCCATGGGAAAAAAAAAAAGCCGGGCGATGGTGGCGCACGCCTTTAATCCCAGCACTTGGGAGGCAGAGGCAGGTGGATCTCTGCGAGTTCGAGACCAGCCTGGTCTACAGAGCTAGGTCCAGGACAGGCTCCAAAGCCACAAGAGAAACCCTGTCTCGAAAAAAGCAAAAAAAAAAAGAAATGTAAATAATAAAGGATAGTTACAAAAGCATCTAAGAACAGCTGTGTAAGTTCTATGGTTTTATGAAGATCATAAAAGTATTGAAATATGTTTTTCTTAAGGAAGAAGTATGTGTATATGTAGGAGCTTTTAGGTGGGAGAGTGTCATCTTTTCTAAAGGCTTGTTATATGAAAACAAATTCTGTCAAAATATTTCATTTCAGATATGTAATAGTTGGCTTAAACTGGCTTCAAGCAGTAATAAAAAGGTGGTGGTCGGAACTCTCATCTAAATCAGAAATTACAAGTGATGGGTACGTATAGCTTTAAAGATAATTTATGCTGAAATTTCTGTAAAAGAGTATCTTAATTAAGCAAAGTAGTGAATTTATCCCATGATCATCATTGTGTAGTTTTATTCTCTTCATTTTCAGAGAAATATTAAACTGAGGTACTTTTTATTTATGAAAAACCATACAGAACCTTTTAACTCTCCATATCTCTTCTGCCAGAACCTTGTCTTTTATTTTATCTTTTTGTTTGTTTTGTTTCATGGCTTTTCATTGTGTAGCAAAGACTTACCTTCAAACTCAGCAGTCTTTAGCCACCTTCCTCAGTGCAGAGTGTAAGACAGCATACCTACCTCAGCTATTCCCTCAAGAAGGAAAGCAACCCAGCATTGGTTTAACCTTTACATGCCCTGTACCAATAAGGGAGAAGGAAGGCGCTGCCCCTGGTGCAGTAGGAAATAGAAGTATCCTGCCTGATCTCTGAAAACTGTTAGAATCATGGTTTGAGTATTGCCTTAGCTTGAAAATATGAGGATTCTACATGGATGAGCTGGTTTCAAGCTAGGCATGGTGGAACAATTAAAATTAAAAATAAGAGGAGGAGGGAAAAAGAAACAAAAAGACAGTCTTGAAAACACACACTTTCTCTTCCCTAACCACCTCTTAAATTCCATAATCTTTGTAGACTCACAGAATTTTACCCAAGAAGGTTGTTCCATGCTACAAATACCTGCTTATTTATTGTCTTATCTAATTTTGTAACTAAATATGCTTAAATTTCTGTGCCTGGCATGTACAACTTCAAGAAGTTGCTTGAATTAGTGTATTTTTTTAATGATGTAAATTAAAATCAAGTCCATATCTTACTATTTGCTTTCTCGTTTTTCTTTCTTTTTTTTTACTCTTAGAAATATTAAAATTTTAAAGCAACAATTGAATGGATTATGGGAACAGGAAAGCCATCTTACTTTGGTTCCAGGATATACTGGTAATATAGCTAAGGTAATCTATATTTATAATTTAAAAGCTAGACATGAATCTAATAGTAATATGTATTGATATGCTTATCTCTTACAGGAAAAAGATACATTGCTAGTTTGGATTTTAATACTTAAACTCCTAGAGGACATTGATAGTATAATTGCAGAAAGAATTAGTGGTAAAAAATATTTCTTCCTACTGCTGGGCATTTGCTGTTATGAGTAGGTATTTACCAGGAAATAAGAGCATTGTATGAATTAAGGAAATGTTTATATCATTGACTCATGAAACATTCCTATATAAAAAGGAACAAATGACACCAAGGATTAAATGTGTCACTCTATATGATTATATTCAGCAGATTCCCCCCTAATCCATTTGCTCCTTCTCTGCCTCACCTTTCTATCTGTTTCTCTTGATACTGTGTTTGACTATGAAGCCATGGCTGGCCTGAAACTCACAGAAGTCTTCCTGCCTCTGCCTCCCAAGTGTTGGGATTAAAAATGTATATTACCATGGCTGGCAAGAATGCTTTTTGTTTGTTTGGAGACAGGGTTTCACTGTATAGTCATGGCTATCCTGGAACTCATTCTGTAGCCCAGACTGGCCACAAACTCAGAGATCTACCTGTCTCTGCCTCCCAAGTTCCGGGATTAAAGGTTTATGCCACCATGCCTTAGAATTCTTTAATTTACTGTTTTTTTCCTCTTGATTATTGACTCTTTAATGTTTTGTGTATAGTCATGCTTTATTCAAATTCATCTTTTCTAATATCCTTCAGAATCTTTAATGATGAAAGTCTTATAAACAGAACTTTATTTCCCTGAAGTTGTTTGTTTTGTGGTTTTTTTTTTTTTTTTTTTTTTTTAGCAAAAATAGTTTATTGGAAGTTAACAAAGTTAAAGACAGACAAAGGAATCACATTTCACAGCCCCTCAGAAAAACATGTAGCTGAGAGGAGAATTTACTTGTTCACCTGAATGTGACCTGTCTGAAGGATGGAAACCCATTTATGTTTTTTTTTTTAATTTATTTATTTATTAAAGATTTCTGTCTCTTCCCCGCCACCGCCTCCCATTTTTCTCCCCCTCCCCCAATTAAGTCCCCCTCCCTCAGCCCGAAAAGCAATCAGGGTTCCCTGTCCTGTGGAAAGTCCAAGGAACCCCCACCTCCATGTTTTGTGTTTTTAAGGTATACAAAATGCATTACTCTGAAGATGGTAGTAGAGCTGAAAGCATATTTCCTTAGAACTTCACTTTTTTATGTTAATGGTTACTAAGGCAAGGTCTGTGTAGTTGGGGCTCTCCTTAAGTCACTATGAGGCCCACACTGATGTTGAAATTACCATCTTCTTGCTGCAGCCCTCTATGTGCTGGGATCAGAGGAATATGCTACCAAGCCTGACTATCTTCAGTTCTCTTTTTATTTCAAAACAAAACAAAACAAAAAGCAAAAAAAAAAAAAAACCCTTTCTTAGAAACATGCCCTTAAGATACTATAGTAATACTGAAAATTGTTAAGTAATTAATTTCAATGTGAGATCGATAATCAAGTCTTCATTACAATATCAGTCCCTAATATGTCATTTTAAAAGTAAATATTTTCTTTGACAGTTTCATATATGTATATAGTACATTCTGGTACTAATCGGATCCTCCCACCACCTCCAATCACCCTGCCTCTCCTAACTCCTCATTTCACTTGTATATATATATATATATATATATATATATATATATATATATATATATTTTTTTTTTTTTTTTTTTGCCTTGGTTTTGTTTTTATGTTATGAGCTATCCACTGAGGTATGACAGCGGCCTCCTTTCTGACGGTAGTCCTTGATTGTTCCACTGTGTCATTTTTTTTTTCAGGTTTCAGGTTAAAAATGTGAACAGATGATTGTAGGGGGGAGTGGATCTGGAGAGGTGGCTGGCTCAGTGGGTAGGAGTACATTTTGTTTTTACAGAGGACATAGGTTCTCTTTTTAGTACACATATTGCAGCTCAAAGCTTTCTGTAACTTTAGTTCCAAGGGATTCAGTGACCTTTTCTGCTTCTTTTTGGCACTATGTGTACATGTGGTGCACATCCATACAAGCATGCAAACACTCATACACATAAAATAAAAATAAGCTGGGTGGTGGCGGCACATGCCCAGGCTAACCTGATCTACAGAGTGAGTTCCAGGACAGCCAGGGCTACACAGAGACACCTTGTCTAGAAAAACCAAAACAATAAATAAAAAAATAAAATGAAATAAAAATAAATCATATTTAAAAATTAGAGAAATGATATTGTCAAACTAGTATGCTTCAAGCTTTGATTTATATAGCAGTTACAGAATTGCTGCAAATGTTGACTACAAAGCAGGATTGTTTGAGCACAGGAATCAAAACATTCACTTAGTATTTACTCAGCATTATTGAACATGCACTATATGCCAGGCCCTGCAATAAACAAATACAGATAAAATTTTTGAATAAGATTTCTTCCTTCTTTTTAAAGGTTACAGAGGGACCTAGGGCAAATTAAGAAACAAAAACAGAAAAGAAAGAGGGTTATGTGTGTTATATTTGCTTTATTAACTAATGGAATGTTTTTGTTTTATCCTTTAAGGATGTAGATGCTTATTTATTACAGTTGCATTGAGAAATTTCATCTTCTAAAGAGTGTTTGGCTGTTCAAACAGCGCTGGATTATATGATTTCCAAAAGTAGGTCTCTTCTGAGAACTATGAACTGTGGAAGAAATAAAAACATTTTTTTCTTTTAAAAAGCCACATAATAAAGCCACTAATGAAATCCTAACAATGTACTTCACATTGAAGTGGAAATATCCGGAAGGAGCAACTTCAACTTCAATGAGGTGAAAGTGCACTATGAAGACTGTTCGCCCTGCTGCACACAGAACCATTATGGCCGTTTCGTAGGGGGTTCAAGAACTTCTGGGTCTCAACTCATTCCTGCATAAGAATATCATTTATAGTATTCAAAACAAGTCAGGACTTTTACCAGGAACTACAAAGACCAATCGTTAATTTTTGTTGTGTTTTATGAAGAAACACTTAAATGTGTGCAGCTATTTCTTCTGTTGAAAGACTTCAAAAGTTTAAAACATTATAATAAGTAATATTAAAATTTTTTGTCCACACTGATACCGTGTACAAATGCCTTAATTATTGATAAGCCAATGTGTTATAATACCAATATCTCTTTTTAAAAAATTAAAAACAACCATGCTTCTGGCATGATAAAATCATGGAATTAAATCAGGGGTTTACATTCATGTAGAATGTTGTTGTTGAAGTATATTCTACACCATTTGTTAAACTTGAGAAAATTTTAGCATCTCTGAATTTTTTTTTTGCCAGAATCTTCATGATATGTTTGTATGAATGTGTTATTCGTATACAAAGAAAAAGGTGAATATGTATTTGTATGAATGTTTAACTGGAAATGTTCTTGGAGTTGGCTAATTTATATTCACTTTTTATTGTATATAATTTCTAATATTTTTCATTTCTGTAACATTTAAACTTCATTTGAGTAAATTTACTAAATATTTCTATTTTTTTGCTTTTTCAATTCTTAATTTTATATGAAATCTAATTCTTTTTCACTACATGTGTTCTGAAAAGTTCTATACATGTTTCAGAATTGTTTACAATTAATGCTGACATTGTACTTTAAGTTCCAACACATTGCATCACTACCTCCTCTAATGGTTAGTATGAAATCCCAGCAAACTATATGCAAGTGGTTTTTGTTTTGTTTTAACCATTTTTAGCATTAGTGTACTCAATTCTGGAATACCTTAACAGTTCTGAATTGTCCCTGTCTTAGAATTGCTTTTGAATATCACTCCTGATCCATCCATCATCTTTCTTTAAAAGGCTTGCAAACTTCCAGAAGAGATAATCAAATTTCTCCTCATATTCCAGTGTACATCTTTAACATTTTAACACTTAAACAGTGACTACTAAGAGGCCTCTTCAGCATCTTTTCTTGCTGTGAAAATATTTAAAGTGTTACTTTTCACTGAATTCTGGTTTTGTATAGCTATCATTCCAGATAGCTATGTACTCCACAGGATGGACATTGCTTGTAGAAATTGATTATTATGTCCTCACTCCAGATGACTGCAGTTTGTGACTAAGAGGTGAGGTATGTAAGAAGTCCTTTTTCAGGATGTGAGAATTTCTTAACCTGCATCATCTCTGAAACCTTAAGACAGGAAATACAGCCTGTGTTTCTTCTTAGTGCTTTTCTTTCCATGGTCTTATCGACCATTTGGGCAGGTTAACATGGTGTGGTGTGGTGCTCCTGAGACTAAGGATTTAAGTCTGATCCTTTTAAGTTCATTAACTTTTCACATGCATGAAATAATTCCATGGCTTCAGATTGCACTTTCCCTTAGCATCCATCTAATAAATTTAATGTGTGATCTCAAAGGATGTGGTGTGCATAGTTTGCTTTCATAGCTTACTTCTCAGAAAGAATGATTGATTTGTATGCTAGTATAGATTTCCAGTTTTGAGAAGAACATATTTAAAATAAGATCTCACATACTTTGTAATTTTTAGTTGCACAGTATTAAATAATATGGACCAAATTATTGACTAAACAGTGTCTTTTTTTTTAAAAAAAATCAAAGCTCAAGTAAATGAAGTATCAATAAAAATTTAGTAAGAAACAGTGCTATTGTTTTAACAGAATATCCCTAAGTGTTTGTCATTTATCCCTAAATGTTTGCTGACGTTGAGTAAAATGGCATGCTCTGTTTTGTATGCTCTGAACAATGAAAGAAGCAGCCTTACAGGCTCAGTGGTTAAGAGCACTGGCTGCTCTTCCAGAAGTCCTCAGTTCAGTTGCCAGCAACCACGTGATGGCTCACAACCATCTATAATTAGATCTGGTTCCCTCTTCTGGCACGCAGGCATGCATGCTGACATACACTGTATACATAATAAGTAAATTTTAAAAAGAAGCAGCAGCAGCCTTATCTCACATGTTATTCCATAGCACACACTTCAGTTCTGTTCTTGACTTTTGCACCTTAGCTATCAAGTTGTGATCTTGGACAACAGGTGTGTGAAATAAGTATTTTTTCGACATTTTTATTACTGCTAAAATCTTTTCATACTTTATTTTTATTTGGGATAGAATTATCTCCACCAAAGAGCCAAAGAACATAGTAGGGTCACTTACTGTGCTGTCCTATTTCAAGTAGGACAGTTACTATATTCAGTTGCCTTTTTGTGACTGTACTGCTAAATAGAATACCAAACAGGAACTACCTGAGTTCTCCACCCTTTGAGCTTTTCTGCCTTAGGTTTTCTGTACTACGGCAGTTTTCCAGGGTTAGGGGCAGCTAGGTTATTGAGGTGTGATAGAGGATCATTATCAAATAATTTGTACCCACTACAGATACAGTAAGTAGATTTTTGTAATATGTGGTCATGGTCAGAGTAAGACTTAAAATTAGGAAGCAGTTATTAGCAAATAGCTTTTGCAAATTTTTTGGTAGCAATTTAAAGATGATTGGCATCAGTTTTATGTATAAATCCTAAAATGTGGGAATTTGATGTAAGTATCTGAGGCATTATAGTCCTAGAACTAAACTCGAAGGTCTGCTAAGAAATTAAATGCTAATGACTCTAAACATGTTTGATCCATGCCATGTCAGAGCCTTCAATGTGCTTATCTGGCTCTATTGCTATATTTTTAGCCATTAAATTGATAGATCTCTGAAATTAATATGATTAACATTAGCCATAATTAATTGGAAGGATCCTTGGCTCTTAAATACTAATAATAGAAATCATATTTAAGTGTTTGGTTACTTAGTGAAGGAGTTTGAAAAAGCAGTATTTAAACTAATATTTCATCAGGTGCTCATAGTTATCGTCCTGCTTAATAAGGTGGTTATGTCAGCTGGCCTTTGTCCACTGAAGAAGTGAAGAGTAAGAACCATATATCTTGACTCATACAGAGTGAGCTTATAACGTGGCTTCTAGCACAGAGTTATTTTCTGGATTCTTTCAGATGGAGAATGTTCTGTATTGATAGGTTTTTGCTGATATATGTGTTCTGTCAGATGGAGAGTGTCATGTATTAATAGGTTGTTGCTGATATATGTGTTAATTTTTCTAGTCATAGAATTGTAAAAAAAATATTTTCAATATTCTTCTCTTCCCCTTTTTTATTTTGTGGCAGCAGCATACCATAAAAAGTTTATTCCTAAGCCTGCCATAGTGGCACAGGCCTGTAATCTCATCACTTGGGAATCAGAGGCAGGTCATTTCTGTGGACTTGCAGTCAGCCTGATCTACAGAGCAAGTTCAGGCCAGCCAGAGCTTCAGGGTGAGACCCTGTTTCAAAAAGAAAGTAAACAAAAATTATCCCTAAATATTACATGTTTCTTTTTGTTTTTTAAGACAGGGTTTCTCTATGTTGCTTTGAAGCCTGTCCTGAAACTAGCTCTTGTAGACCAGGCTGGCCTTGAACTCATAGAGATCCATCTGCCTCTGCCTCCCGAGAGCTGGGATTAAAGGTGTGCGCCACCACCACCCAAAGCAATACAGATTATAATGTATCTGTATTGAGTCACTAGCAACACTATAGCAATAGACATAAATGTTGCATATTGTGTATCTAGTATGCTGGGTATATTTTCCAATACTATATTTGACATAGTTTAAAAGTCAGTATAATGAAATACTGTCTTCATAATTTTCTCTGGGTCAAGCCATTAAGCTAGCAATATCTTCTAAAAGCCAAACTTTATTAAGAAGTAAGTACAAGGGCTGGAGAGATGGTTCAGAGGTTAAGAGCATTGCCTGTTCTTCCAAAGGTCCTGAGTTCAATTCCCAGCAACCACATGGTGGCTCACAACCATCTGTAATTGGGTCTAGTGCCCTCTTCTGGCCTGCAGGCATACACACAGACAGAATATTGTATACTTTAATAAATAAGTAAATAAATAAATATTTTAAAATTAAAAAAAAAAGAAGTAAGTACAACTACATACAGATCATTAGGTCACCATGTTCTCCCTTGAAGATAGTAGTTAGTCACAGACAAAATAATACAGTTGCTCTTTACCTGTAGTTCCAGTAAAAGCAACACCACAACCACTATTTTTTTTTAAATCTGTCATAAACTATTGTTTTGATATTACAAAATTTTTTGTTTTGTGAAGTTTTCAGATGAGAATTTCTTTTTTTTTTAAATATTTATTTACTTATTATGTATACAATATTCTGTCTGTGTGTATGTCTACAGGCCAGAAGAGGGCACCAGACCTCATTACAGATGGTTGTGAGCCACCATGTGGTTGCCGGGAATTGAACTCAGGACCTTTGGAAGAGCAGGCAATGCTCTTACCCACTGAGCCATCTCTCCAGCCCCTCAGATGAGAATTTCTAAGGTCCACATAAGCTCGCTCGCTCTCTCCCTCCCTCCCTCTTTCTTTCTTTTTTTTTTTTTTTTCTTTAGACAGAGTTTCTCTGTGTGGTCCTGGCTGTTCTGGAACTTGCACTGTAGACCAGACGAGACTGGCCTCACTCATAGAGATATGCCTGCCTCTGCCTTCTGGGTGCTGGGACTGAAGGCTTGTGCCAGCACCGCTCACCTCTAATCTTATAAGGTATTATATTTTCATTGAAGAGTTCATTCTAGGAACAGTTAATGCTTTGTCCAGATAAGAAAGAAACATGAGAGCCAAGTGATGGTGTTGCACACCTTTAATCCCAGCACTCTGGAGGCAGTGCCAGGAGAATCTCTGTGAGTTTGAGGCCAGCCTAGTCTACAGAGCAAGTTCCATGACAAGCTGACAGACACCAAAGCTACACAGAGAAACCCTATCTTGAAAAACCAAAAGAAAAAAAAAGAAAATTGAGTCCCAGAATATGCTGAACCACCAGAGCTGTGTGCTTCCAGACTTACTCTAGACATTGGTGTTCAAGTTCCTGGCTCACACCCTTAAGATCCTTCATTACCATTTTCTTGAAAAATGCCATTTGTTCCTGTCGTTTCCTTTGGCATCTGCATTAATTATTCTCATTTTGGGGGAGGGGTAGAAGAGAAACTGTATTTTGGTTGACTAAATGGACAAGCATATGAACTAAAGGAGAGAAAGCCCGTGGTTCAATTTGAGGGTATGCTGTGCTTCTTCGGAAAATGCTTTGTTCTCCTGTACTCTGCCCCAGAATCACTCAGTTAATCACTTCCTTGTCCTTCATGGTTCTGTGGGAAGCCTCTATAGCCTCTGGGTAGTACAGACCTCTACTGGTCAGTCTCATTAGCTCTGTTTCCTTACCCCAACTTACCTGTGTTCTTTGGTTGGCTGTGTTCCTGGCTAGGTCCCTAGTTCTTGCCACAAAACCCAGGAAGCAATTGGAATTTTTATTTCTTACAGAATTAAGCAAAATTTTAGGGTCTTTGGACCTAAATTGTATTCAGAAGTAATTTACTATTCCAGAGTTATTTCTGATAGCATAGCAGATAAAATGAATAGTTCTGGGATAAAAATAATCTTATTTTCTCCTTTTGTTTTAGGATATTGGGTTATGAATATTTGTGCTGCAACAAAATAAAATCACCTGAAGTGTGTGGTTGTTAAAGGTTGTGATGCTTGTCTTTTTTGCTGTATGCTGTCTGTATCCCATACGAATCCATACAAATGAGCCACTTATAAAATAAAATGGGTGTTTTAATAGAATGTGTGGAATATGTAAATTCTCATAATCCAAGAGTGTCCCCTGGGTTTTCCACTTTTATTTAGAAATGATTGAGAATCATTAGAGTGGTTTTAAATTCATTTTTAAAGTCACAAAATAGTTTCCCCAAATTAAACATGGATTAATCTATCCCATGGCAAACCACTTGGTCCTGTTCTTACAGATTTTCCTCTGTGTGTACATGCATGCATTCAAGTATGTATGTGTACATTCATGTACTTTTCTCTCTCTAGTGTGTGCGCACGCACACGCACGTGCTTGTATTAGGAGGCCACTTGTTCGTTCCCAACTGCCCAGACTCGAAATAACCACTCAGAACCTATATTACTTGAATCACTGCTTGGCCAATAGCTTAAGTGTATTTCTAGCTAGCTCTTATATCCTGAACTAACCCATCTCCATTAATCTGCATACAGCCATGTGGCTATGGCTTACCGGGTAAGGTTCCATAGAGCGTCTGTCACCTGCAGGGCTACAGGACTTCCCACACCACATAAGTGCTGAGTGCATGCACTTGACTTTGATTTTCTGAGAAGGGTTTTTCTGTGGAACCCTGGCTATCCTAGAACTTAGAATGTTGATTAGACTGGCCTTGAACTTGGAAATTCACCTGCCTTTGCCTCATAAGTGATAGGATTAAAGGCATGTACCGCTACCTCCATCCAGTTGAATGTATATTTTTAATCTAAGTTAATTTGTACTCTACATGCTGACATTTGATATATGGTTTCCTAATTTCCTTACTGAAAACAATTGAAGGTAACTGGAAAGCTCTTTTTCTTTGATTGCAGGAATTTGAGGTGAAAAAGGGGTTCCACTATGTATTGCAAGCCTGGATTTCACAGTGTGGTGTGCAAGCAGGAAATCAGTTCTGCCTCTGTCTCCCAAGTCCTGGCATTATAAGTATGCCCTGCCACCATGCTAGTGAGCATGGTGGTGGTTTGTCAGAACTATTTATGTTCTGAGCAGTTACTGTTAACTTCTTTGGAAGAGAAGGCTGGAGAGATGGCTCAGAGGTTAAGAGCACTGGCTGCTTTCCCAGAGATCCTGAGTTTAGTTTCCAGCAACCACATGGCGGCTCACAACCATCTATAATGAGTTCTGGTGCCCTTTTCTGGCCTGCAGGCAGAATACTGTATTTATAATAAATCTTTAAAAAAAAAACTTTGGAAGAGGTTAAAAATATAAATCCAAGGATTATAAGCCTGTTTCACTATGCCCAGCTAGAGAATTACCTTTAAAGCAGTGTTAGTATA